CGGTACAACGTGTCTCTTCAAACTTTGAACGCGTTTTCCTGGAGACACCGTCTTTCAGGACGCGTCTATGATGAATAAGTAGGATAATTTCAGTATCGTACTTGTTTCATTTGAAACGACGTGAATGGTACTCTCCATCAGTTATCGAACATTTTTACGATTAATCGAGGTGACGACTATTAAAAGATTATGAAAATTGGTATTATGCTCCTTGAAACGATATTTATGCGTTTTTAAATGCTCAAAATTTACTTATATAATTGATGTGGGCATTGGTTATTAATAACATGTACATGTCTGGTCTTTTCATCGGAATGGAATATTCGAAGATGATACGGTAAAAATAAGATCACAGAAATCACTGGTTTTTTTCTTGTCTCGTCCAGGGGGTACGTTCCTTCTGGGAGAGATAAAAATACGAGTTTCAAAACGATTCCCTTAGGTCGATTCGAAAATCATCGAAGTCAAACCCATTGTTTTTTTTCCTACGAGATGATTCGAGACACTGTTGCGTTTTAGAGAACGGGATGGATTTGACATAATTTTCTTCGCGGAGAGAAATTCATGGGGAATTTAATATAGTCACGTTTGATCGTGGAGAGTAGGGGAAACTAATTTATGCCGAAATCAAAGTAGTTCCACCGACACGTGTAGCTTCATTAAAACAGCTTCTCTGTCAGGCTTGCTCTGAAAATCATTTTTTTCCGGTCTTCGTAATTGGAGCCTGGAACAGGAGAAACGTGCAACGTCGTCCTCGTGTGTCTGACAGGGACACGTACGGTTTCCGGTAATTTCACTCCACGATCGAGGAGAAGTTTTGTCGTCGATTTCGCGTCCCTTTAAATTGCTCTATTAAATCCGAAGAGAGGGTTTTACTCTCGGCTTGAAATCCCGCAAGTTTCGTCTAGTCTGGAAAATCGTAATGGGTTTTTTAAGTGTATATATTCTTTGGGCCGTGTAACTACTGTGGTCGGAAACGCGAAGTGCTCGCACGAGCATTCGGCGCTTTTGCGTTCGCTCGCCTGGGATATTCAGCGTATCGATCGGTTTTCCAGTGATTATATCAGCGTTGCCACCGAGCAACCTACCATTATCACGTTTAAAGCGATATAGTCAACGGCTCGAAACCGTCGGTTTTGCACTCCATAACTTGTAAGGTAAAGGTTTCACGACCATTATCAGGGACGCACCATTCTGGGTATGGTCTCCTTGATACATTACGAGACGAGACCTTCGTCGACATTCTTGCACGATCGCTAGATTTGCATTCGAGGCGAACCGTAAAAAAAAAAACACATTGTCCTATATACTATATATTGAATAGCCTAAGTAAGATTTTCATTGTTGGTGACGGAAGAGAATGCTTCGAGTATATGCTATTTGGTAGTGATGTTTTACGTCAATACCACCTTTGCATTCGAGGCGAACCGTAAAAAAAAACACACGTTGTCCTATATACTATATATTGAATAGCCTAAGTAAGATTTTTATTGTTGGTGACGGAAGAGAATGCTTCGAGTATATGCTATTTGGTAGTGATGTTTTACGTCAAAACCACCTTTGCATTCGAGGCGAACCGTAAAAAAAAACACACATTGTCCTATATACTATATATTGAATAACCTAAGTAAGATTTTTATTGTTGGTGACGGAAGAGAATGCTTCGAGTATATGCTATTTGATAGTGATGTTTTACGTCAAAACCACCTATTTCAATTTTTTATTCGTAAAAAAAGTTAAATGCCGGAGGTTTTTCCCCCTTGAGTTGCGATCGGATTGTCAATGTGATACTTAATTTATAATCGTCATGTTTAGATGGAGGCAGGATTTTTAAAGAAGAAAAATCATTTCCCATTGACATACCTCATGGTCGTCTAGATGTGTTTTATTATACGAGAAGCAATGGAGGTTTTATTCAACGTGATCATTCTAAGTGGTCCATCATTTACCGTCGTTCCATTTAATGCACATCACGAGGACCCATCGTTGAATGTAGAGTATGTAGTTATGTGCCTACAAATCGTTTTTGGAGTTTTCGCGGAGTAGAGTTTGCTCGGAAATGATAATTATTATTTATTCATTCGTTATATTAAACATTCGGAGCTCGGCGCACACCGGGTGAAATAGTGGGTACATGACATTAAATTTCACGTGGACATAGTGAACTTAACATTAATACTGCAAGCATGAATCATTTCTGTAGGTTTTTATGCCTTGCGTTATCTACCATTGTTTAAAATGAATATCAATCGACTCCATTTCAATAAAATTCCGTTTCCGGATCGGAGAAACGCTAAATCCAAAGTCATTCCCTCTTGCTGTACGGAATAAATGTTTGTCTAATTTAAGGCTTTGCCAATATTGTCGTACTTATGAGAAAATTGAGCAGGATTTGCAGTCTGCTTGTTAGAATTGCACCATGCCGTAGAAATGTATCTAGATTTCCACCAGGAACAATAGTATCAGGGAGAGATGAGAGGTCTTGCAAGGTCTGTTGAAATAATTCCGACAAGTATTACATTGTGGTAGAGTTTCATTCTAAATGTACTTGTAACGTGAAGCACGTGACTTTTCAATAAGCGTGATAAATTTTAGTATGTATTTTATACCTTTCTCGTAGCATAATGCGCCTATTGTGTGTTTCCTGAATTCATGATGTGCTCAACACTGAAATGAAATCACGATCGACGCGACATTTCATGGGACCGCTTTTATAACGTGACATCTGCCCTCTTCTGCTTTCTCTTTGGTAGGACTTTCCTTGTACCCATGTCTTATATCGTTGCTGTAGAGTCGGAAATTTCTGTCTATTATTATCTCGAACCATTAAGTTGTTCAGAAAGTTATTCAAGTTTTTGCGGCTCAACGTATGAGGTTTTATTTTCAAATAATATTGTTTTCCCATGCGTGTGCATGTTACATATTTTAAAATACCGACTTTGCTCTATATCTTCACAACGATAATTGTTTTAAATATTTTTGTATTATTTAGACCATTTAATTAAAATGGAGAAGGGATCGGAAGAAGCAACAAAGCGGCTTTAGGCTGAAATTTAGGGATATCGTACCGTCCGTCAAATTGTACTACTACGATATTTAAGAAGATACCATAAAAAATGGTCAACTAAAAAATTATGAACAAACTTGCGAGATTTGTTTATACTTAACTATTTGGTGGTAGCATCGGTGGAGACTAAAGTTAGAGGCATATTATATAGTTCGTTAACGCGTTACTAATTTTACCGCAGATATTGTCACTAGTCATTGTAAAAAATGTTATTTAATTTACATGCAGTGTAACCTTTTGTTTAAACTCAAACAGACGTTCCGAAAATGATAAAACTGAAAACAACTCCCGGTCGGGAATATTGTATCACCGCATAATTGGGTAATTCGTCCCAATACGATTAACCCAACTGCGTTTATTAAATCAAAACTTTGGTTATCTAAATACTTAACCTTCGATAAAAATGATTCTGTTCAGAAATAATATCAAAAAGAAAGATGGAGCATGGTCATAAGGTATTCGGTTTCGCCTAAGTTACCTTACTCGGTATTTTCGAATGTTCCCGGCGTGCGTCCGTAAATTCCCTATAAATGGAATACTTTTTTCCCATATATTCATGCAATATGCAGAGAAGATATTTATGGTAGGCGGGTGGGTAATCGAGGTTCGTGAGAGCGTTAAATGCGGACTCCTGTATATACATATACAGTTTGTACTCCGAGAAATATATAATTGGGTAATTCGTCCCAATACGATTAACCCAACTGCGTTTATTAAATCAAAACTTTGGTTATTTAAATACTTAACCTTCGATAAAAATGATTCTGTTCAGAAATAATATCAAAAAGAAAGATGGAGCATAGTCATAAGGTATTCGGTTTCGCCTAAGTTACCTTATTCGGTATTTTCGAATGTTTCCGGCGTGCGTCCGTAAATTCCCTATAAATGGAATACTTTTTTCCCATATATTCATGCAATATGCAGAGAAAATATTTATGGTAGGCGGGTGGGTAATCGAGGTTCGTGAGAGCGTTAAATGCGGACTCCTGTACATACATATACAGTTTGTACTCCGAGAAATATATAATTGGGTAATTCGTCCCAATACGATTAACCCAACTGCGTTTATTAAATCAAAATTTTGGTTATTTAAATACTTAACCTTCGATAAAAATGATTCTGTTCAGAAATAATATCAAAAAGAAAGATGGAGCATGGTCATAAGGTATTCGGTTTCGCCTAAGTTACCTTACTCGGTATTTTCGAATGTTCCCGGCGTGCGTCCGTAAATTCCCTATAAATGGAATACTTTTTTCCCATATATTCATGCAATATGCAGAGAAGATATTTATGGTAGGCGGGTGGGTAATCGAGGTTCGTGAGAGCGTTAAATGCGGACTCCTGTATACATACAGTTTGTACTCCGAGAAACCGTTCGTTGCTCGTGGGATACACGTTTCGAGCCGGGAAATAACTTTTACGGTTAGCTCGGGATAATCATCCCGTGATACTCCGGATGAAATGTCGTAAGGCTCGCACTTTAATCTCGAGCCAAAGTGGCGAAACTTCAAAGTCGAAATGCGCAAACAGGAACAACGCGTTCCCATAGGTCGGGAATTAAGGTCGAGTACGGAATTTCATTTGTCGGATTAGATTTCTTACAGCTCCCCGATCGTTCGTTATTATTCTTTCTGAAAGACTTACTTTTCCGCTGATCGTTTCGCAGGCGACTAATCGCGTTAGAAAAATACTTGACAAATATGATTAAGTACGGTCCGTACACTTTTTTGCTATTCCTCATGACACGTATTTCAATCTCATAAACTGGTTCTTGTTGCTAGCAAATTGCCGCGATTAAAAAGTGCTACGTACAAACATCTTTCCGTAAACACATTAATGCATACTTAAGTCGATTTCGATGCATAAATTATTGCACTCGGATTTCACGAGATCGTTCGGAAAGATTTGTTTGACATTTCCTTTTGTTTTCTAGGGTTACACATCGAGCACTTCCAATGGCATTGCCGTTCCCCATTATAATGCCATATTCTTAAACTGTAAGTACTTGAATTTATGAAGTATATGGTTGGCGTTATTGATTATTATTATTTTTTTATTATTCAATTACAGCCAAAGGTACATGTTATATCTAGTGAAATTAACACCCATATACTTGCCTTCGTAATAGATACATGAAAATGTTCATTAACCGTCAAGTAATTTCCATCGATTGTTTAGTGATCGGTATTTTACTACGGCTTAACAAGATAATCGTCGCATGAGATAAGCCATATGTTTACGGAACCGATATTTCACTATTGACAATTAGAGCAGCGATTAACGAAAGAAAAACATTCATATAAATAATCGAGGATTCAAATCCCCGTTGATACCGGCGTCAACGATAACACCGTCGATAAGCTGAGACGTTCGAAAGTTCGCGTTACCGTCATATGAAATCCGCAAACATGCATTTACGAGTTGATATTTAATTTCATGAATATATTATCTCACGTGAGAACTTGCTTGCGGTAATAATTTACGGACTCGGCAGATAAACCAAATTGGGTTAACGAAGTGGCAACTGTAACGCCTCGAGACGTAATCAAGTCGAGCTCGATTTGCTAAGTGCTTAAAAGTGGGAAACAATCCCCGCGAAACCAAGTACGAAAGATGTCATAATTTGCGGGCCCGGCTCAGAGATTAAAGGTATACCTCCCGGAGTCACGATACAAGTATGGTAATTTCTAGCGTACTCCTTTTTCTTGAGACGCGGGTTAGTCAAGCGAGAATCGCAAATAGCCGGGTCTCTCCGCAAAACGTAACGCATTTACGGGACGCATTAACGGCTAGCGTTTACTATTGCGTTAGTCATCGCAGTTAGAGGAGCTCTCTAGACGTAGTATTTGGCGTGTATTTTCCACGGGTCTCACGGACGCGGATTCGAGGCAAGGATGTCGCAAGCCTCGGGTGTCATGTAGGACTCGCTAACGTTAAATGCGCATAAACCCTCGATAGCACCGATTCGGTATACGCCGACGGGTCCTTGGAACGATATCGTCGTCGCTTGCGATATCTTTGACAGACTTCCACCTAGATTCCTTTTGTAAACCAGAGTTAATGTCGAGCCGACTCTTATTGTCGATTTTGTTTTCGGGGTCTTTTTGCGGGATGCGGAATCGACCGAAGTGCCATTCGAGGCAATGTGGGAGTGCTGCACTACTAGGAATGTTCATAAAATTCATGCACGTATCATTGTAGTAGAATTGTACATTTAATGCCCTAAAAGTGAATTGGTATACATTTATTACTAATTTATAAACGAAGTTATAATTTGATGACATGTTAAAACATTGTGAAATTGCGGAGGAAAATTGATACACTTATGCTCTAAACCTATATATATGTTTGAATCAATATATATGCTTGTTCGACTGTATAACAAAGAAAAAATACTCTTCGTTCAAATAGATCTTCACTGGCTACTATCAAGAAAATAACATCAAATGAAATTAAGGCAAATTACAAAGACTTTTAAATTTTCTTAAGCTCAGGTCTGTTTAACTCGTCGTGATTACATTTTCTACCCTTTTTTTCGCAAAATCACTTGCACTTGATATTAACTTGCCACTTGAGATCCAACACTGATAATTCTTACAAAATTAGTTTTACCGTAGCCAAGAAATTTCTTTAGCAAGAAATGTTTAGATTGCCGCAAGAAATCAATTTCGTGTAGTGAGTAAGTTTTTTGCTCAGGGTACGCAACGGTCGGGCAGGGAATGAAATCTCATTGTCCCTGTACAAGTACCTCCCCAAGTGACATTAACGTATTCATTACACGCGTTTTAAACATACTTGAAAGGAATCGCTGCATATTCATAGAAAACATTCGGTGTCACCTGTTGAATTTGTTTCGAGCGTTCGGTACAGAGTGATGTCACGTTTTTTATGACTGAAGCTCACGTTCAATGAACGTTCAGGTCTGCTTTCTGCAGAAAGTCGAGCTTAATTCCTTCGAAGCTTCGAGCCTTAAGGGGATGAGAAAGTGGCATCCGAAAAGTCAATCGTTCATGAAACTTTTCGCTGAACTGGGTGTACCGAATCCTTTGAAATTTTACAACATGAATATGGAGTCTACAAGAAAGGTCCTGGCACTCATGATATTTCATTTTTTTGTACAAAATTTACAAAACACCTATAAACAAATTGTTAAAAAATTGAGATTTCCCGAGTTTCAGGACCTTCCTTATAGTCTACATATTCACGTAGTGAAGTTTGAAATGATTCGGTAAACCCAATTCGGAAAAGAGTTTCATTAATGAAACGATAATACCGTTTCTTTCCGTTTATTATTTTTTACATACTTATTTGCGAGTTGTTTAAACCACTTAACGTATACGGAGTTCATTCGTGAGCCGAGCAACGTAAATGGCACATTTGTGGGAGAAACCTTAAGCGAAGGGCTTAAGTTTATCGTGTTTCTTTATTTGTTACGGTGCCAGTGTATTTTCCTCGATCGGGTACTTAGTCGCAAATAGTCAGAAGTTATTTCTTTCGTTCCTAAGCCAATAACGAGATTTTAAGCGACCGAGAAACTCATCGCCGGTGTGCCTGGCGCAGAAACGCAAGGCGGATGAGTTAGTCGGGACTTGTCCCGTTGTCCGGTACCGGTTAGGAATATCCGTTTAATGGTTAAGAATTTAATGGCCATGGTAATTCAGACACTGGACCCTGCTCCGATTCCCCCGTCGATTTTACAACGAGATCCATTGCACGTTCCTCGCAGGCGCACCGTTTAGAAATACGCCTTTATGTCGCGCTTACGAAACGCTCCAAACGATCGGCATTGTCTCTCATTTCGAAATGGAGACAAAAGCGACCCTTCGCGGCAGTTCGTTTCGTAAGTGTTTTCAATTCAGTGAGGAGACGACAGTCGGCAAATTTCGACGTTCGAAGCTCCCTGCGAAACAATCCAAGCCGTTTTGTTGATCGAGATTATTTTCATCTGAGATTGCTTACATCATGAGATTCATTGTGTTTATGGATTAATTAATTTATAGTGGACTAACAGTAGAGCGCGTTACGTATTAACCGCGTTATACGGGAGTCTACTGTATTTTACCTTTACTTCTGATTTTATCCGAATGTGTATATAAAGCAATGAATAATTAAGAGTTTCGAAAAACAGCAAATGACTTACAGAGGATAAACGTCTTTTTCCGAAGTCTCGGGGGCATATTACACCTGACAGCTTTCATAATCCCCAAAAACAAGTGTAATTTATTCGAAACATAATTTTCTAGTTACGTATTTCCTTAATAACTTAATGTATAGTAATTGTATAGAATCCGGAGGAAAGGTTTTAAGAAATTGGCCATAATTTGGACATTGAGCTTCTTTTGTAATGGTTAATTCGTTAACCACGTGGTTTTAATGGTTACTCGGTTATACACTTACGACGTAACGTACTTATCGTATGTACTTCCATAGTCCAGGCAGATTTACGACCACCAGAAATATTTAAAAGCATTTCTTTTCATTAAATTGGTACATATAATACTCAGGGATCGATGCGTATTTTACAAACCAAGCACAAAGAAATGTGAGGAGAAACGAAGCGAGTCTTTGAATGGTATCAAAGAATAATTTCGTAAGTCAAAGAATAATGATATGACTGAAATAAACTGTCATCATTCCGAAGTACCGTTCCATTCAATTTATTCGAGTGAAATAATGATTCTTTGAATGAAGAAAATATTTCTTTGGTTCAATTTTTTTCTCATGGTGCTATCCACCAGATGCGATAGGAATACGCGTCCATCGCGGTCGATATTACATGCACTCCAAGTCCTCTATGCAAGTATGACCCTACCTCTCGAACTGTATTTCGAGCCGTATACAAAGGCGGCTAAAGCCAGCATATATATTACGAGAGCATAGCCATGAAAGCTTTCCGAAAAGCCGCACACCACGGTTCGGGTCATCGGGTCGTAAAAACTCGGCTGGTGGATTTTCCTAACCTTTGAATGGGTATCCACCATTTCGCGCGGTCTGAATAGGTCACCGAAACCCGGCTGGGTAAATGGACACGGTTTTACAATGGGCCAGGGTTTATTGTATACGTGAAATAAACGGTTCGAGTGAAACGGTGCCAAGTGAAAGCCCTGTCTTTTCGCAGAGTCCACTTTGAAAGACGCTCTTCCGCCGATACGAATTAGTCACCGAGCACTACCGTAAATCCGGTGTACGGCTACTCGGTACATTTATTGCCGACCTCGTCGATGCAAACGCGCACACGGTAATGGTATCTTTACGGCCATTTATGGGAGCACCTGAGAACCGTACTTACGTCGAACGAATCCGTTTCCTGAACGGGGAGAAATCTTCCACTGGTCTGCAAACGGCTTTGAACAAAATCCAGATCGATTCTCGTCCATGGGACGCATAATTCCCATATACCTTTGCTCAATGCCCAGTTACGCCAACCTCGGTTACGAGTTGCACGTTCCCCCGCGTTTTAACGTCGGGTTAATTTTCATTCCTCGCCGTTTAGATTAACCAGCCGAATTAGATCGTTTAGCTAAGGCTAATCGAACTTCAACCTAAGAACTGCAGAAAAACTGCATTTCAGCCAATTACCGTCAACTCAACTTACCTCGAATGGGGCACGATTAGTTGATCATGCTCTAAATAAATGTGGGAAAATGTTTAGGTTTTTAACCCATGGTTAACTTTAACCTACGGTTAGGTAATCAGGGAGTTAACCGAGGTTGGAACCGGGCGTAAGACTCCAGACCAGATATGCCGGGCTGGTGTGACCGCAACTTTACGGTTCCATGAACATGCAGCCATGGTTTCGCGAACTCGTTCTTCGATGGGTCAACTCGCGAGCATTCGCTTCCATAATGGGAACCAGGCTCCTCCGAGTTGTTGGGGACATTCGCCATTCGGCCGGGGTTGGTCAACGTCGGCCTGCGCTCGAGAAAATCGCGCTTTTGCTCGTAAGGTGGAGTGAAACCCCCCTCGAATCAGTTGATTCGAATACGACACTTTTTTA